TTTATATAATACAGTGAACCTTTAATACAGTGATACAATAAGCTTTCAATGAAGCAACTCAACGTTCCTTCGTTACTAAAGTTCTAAGTAACTTTTTTGTATTTGAGGCTTGAGATCAGCTTTTAAACTGAGATTTGAATCTGTGGTGGAAGGAAGTAGTTCCGTACAAAAGAGGGTTTTTAAAGACACTCTATTGTTGTTTCTTTTGTATCCACACACATGTACCTTCGAACTGTTATATAAATGCAATATTACACGAGTAGCAGTGCGATATGGCTGTATATCAGCACGCTGTGAATTACTGAATCACAGCTGTGCCGATATACAACCATATCACACTGCTACTCATGTGATATTGCTCATATATTATTTATTTATTTATTTTAATTAAACATTTTATTTCAGTTAATTGCCAATGAAGCATATGTGATTTTTTTTTCATCTGATATCCTATTTATATTTATATTTTATTTAATCTTTATTACATTAAATCCTTTTTTAATAGTTTTAATTAAAAATAACAACAGTTCTCTACATGACTTGGACCCCTTCTTTAGTCTGTGGCATTGTTTTGTTTGTTTTCTTAATTAACTGGTTTTATTCAAGCCAAAATATTATTTTACATCACTGAATAAACCTAAATACATTCATTAATACTAATAAAAATAATTTCAATGGGTTAAATCAGGTAAAAATAGCTCTTCAGAGTAACAACTAGTGTTGCTTTCGTCAACGAAAATTAGTCTGGAATGGATGTATTCTTGAGTCTATAAGGTAACAATAATATAATAAGATAACTAAAATACAATTTTCATTGACTAAAACTAGACTAAATGTCATCAGTTTTCGTCGACTAAAACTAGACTAAAATGCTCAGACTTTTAGTTGACTAAAACTTGACTAGACTAAAAAGAGTATGAACGTGACTAAAACTAATAAAAACTAAAAGGACAGTTTCACACAAAGACTAGACTAAAACTAAAATTAAAACAGGCCGCCAAAAACAACACTAGTAACAACTACAGATTACCACTTTTTACAGTGTTCTCTTTCAGCTCATTGTAAAAAGAAAGAAAAAAATAATTAAAATGCATGAGGTTTTAATCTCTGGCTTCAATCAGTGCTCCTAATTTTCCTAAAGACAACTCCAATTACACACCATGCATCACACAATTTCAGCTCATTTTTCTCTGAAACGATTATGCATATATTATGTTTGGTCTCCTTATATGGCCAGAAGTTTTCATATACTATGTCTTGAGTGCTGAGATCACTGGTTTAATCTGTCAGTGTGTTTCAGCAGTACCTCCCACTTGGACCAATCTCAGCACACAGTCTCTTCCTGGCTCTAAGCAATGGGATGCAGTCAATGTACTTGAACAAGTCACATCCGCACTGCATTAGCAGAGTCCACAACATTAAATTGGGCTGTAATTAGACTGTAATCAGCAGTGATATTGTTGGATATTAACTTGCTAAAGAATTAATATGAAATAGGCATGATGATGGTTGTCTCAGCTCATGGGTCACAAAAAGGATACATTCTTATAATTATGGCAAAACAGAATAAGAGTGAATTTGTAAAAATGTGATCAGTGACTCTATTCATCGTTTGAGAGTTCTAGGGTCAGTTTTGTGAGAATCATGTGAATAAAATGACCCTGGAACTCATGCAGCTATTGCAATTATATTTACACATAGTTGACTTCTCTAGTTGACCATTTGATTAAAAATACAGTAAAAATAGCAACAATGTGAAATATTGATACAATTTAAAATAGCTGGTTTCTATTTGAATATATTTTCAAATGCATTTTATTCCTGTGATCAATTTGAATATATTTTCAAATGCATTTTATTCCTGTGATCAAAGCTGAATTTTCAGCATCTGTGGCACATGATCCTTCAGAAATAATTATAATATGCTGATTCGCTGCTCAAATATTAGTTTTCTATCCGTTTTTGCTGCTTAATATTTTTGTGGAAACCATGATATTTTTTCAGGATTCTTTGATGAATAGAAAGTTCAAAATAACAGCATTTATTTCAAATGAAAACACTTTTGTGACATTATAAATGTCTTTACTGTAATTTTTGACCAATTTATTGCATCCTTGTTGAATGAAAGTATTAATTTCTCACCCCAAACGTTTGAATCGTTGTGCATCATGGTTTCCACAAAAATATGAAGGAGCACAACTGTTTCCAGCATTGATAACATGCATATTAGAATGATTTATGAAAGATCATGTGACACTGAAGACTGGAGTAATGATGCTGGGAATTTAGCTTTAATCACAGGAATAAATTACATTCTAATATATATATATATATATATATATATATAAATTGTGTAACACTTTAGTTTAGGTACCAATTCTCACTATTAACTAGTTGCTTTTTAGAATGCATATTACTGACACATTGGCTGTTTATTGTGACCATATTTTAGATCCATACCCAATATCTAAACTTAAAAACCACCTTACTAACTATTAATAAGCAGGAAATTATGAGTTTGTTGAGGCAAAAGTCATAGTTGGTGGTTAATAGTGAGAATTGATCCCCAAACTAAACAGTGACCAAAATTTGAAAATGCAAATTCATGGTCTGGTTTAACCAGATATACACTAAAAATGAACTGACACAAAGTTTCAATTTTAATTTCATTTTTTGTGTTGTTTTTTAACCACTCAATATTTATTCATAAAGTAGCCTAACATTACTGTAAAGTAACTAACAACTCATTAAAGATTGCATTTATGTCAGTATTTCTGTACTGCAATTATTCTATTAGACAAGTGGTTCCTAGAGGGCAAATCAAACATCTTAATACTTGGTTCTAGTCCCTCCATTCAAGCTCTATTTAAACAAGGGACACAGCACTGCATTGAAGCAACGAGATCTTCAACCAAAGCAGCAGAGGACCCGGAAACAATATTATGGCAAGGTGGATCCGTCAAGCGGATTAGACGGTCTCAGTGGAAGTCAGTATACTATAAAAAGTAGCAAAACAGAAAAAGAAAAAAAAAAGTTAAGCTCCAGCCCTCATTTTGATACATGTTGTATGAAGTGCTTCACAATGAAACATCATACGACCATCACGTTACAATAATGACACACAGTAACTGATGGCTGATTGTTAAAGCGGCTTGCCTGATAATAATGAAAGTGTTCGCGGCATCTGTCATTGCAGTGTGTACCAACCTGCCCATTTCCCGAGTTTGGTCGCCCGCATCAAATTTCCATTGCCCACAATCCACACGCGAATCCCGCTGAGCAGACAGCACAGAGTGCTCACCGAAACCCAGGACACAGTGACAGCACCGATCCAATACAGTGCATCTGTCAGCAGCTCCATCATAACACAGTGAAATGTGTCTCACACACGCAAGTTCACAACTGTTTTCACAGTGTTTGCTACAAATACCGATAGCTGCACGCTGTCGACTCGTTGGTGTGCAGGATGGATTGAAGCACATCCGCTTCCGCGTTAATTACGTATTGTTGCGTTTTCAGCAGACTGCTTTCTGATTGGATGTCAGCTCTGTTCGTTAGCTCACGTCTCAGGTCTGTCAGCGAAAGACTGAGGATTCAAAGTGTGCTAAAACATTGAGATACTGTAGAAATATGAACGTCTCAACTGTTTGGTCCCTGAGGGAGCTTAAAATAATGAAAAGTTTGGTCGGGGTGATACGATTACATACTTAGACGAAAAACACAGGCTACTTAAATAAATCTGTGTGTGAATTCAAGACAACACTGTGAAGAGTCAGATGGTCCCCTTTTATTTTTCTGGAACATTTATGGGAACAAACACTGAAACAAATGACACAAGTAAAATTCTATATTATGAAAGTAGGCCTAACAGCAGTGGACTGACAAAGGTTTTTAACTTCAAATCAAGTTTTTAACTTCAAATTGTGTTTCTTATTTGATACATTATTTAATCCAGAATTTGTATTATATTGTAGTGAGCGAAACTTGACATAAAATATACCAGTGCCTTTTTGAGAATTTTAAGCTTTGAATATGAGTGAAAATGTTAGTCCTGCGAGGGATGAAAATTTCATGTTGTTGTTTAAAGTTGCAGTATTACAATTCCTATCATACATACACGCTGCACGCATACAGTATATATATCATTACTTCTTCAGATACATGATACTGAAAAAAAAAATTATGTAGGCCTACATCCTATACGCATTCGACAGATGTTTGATTAAAATGTCACATTTAGAAACAAACACTTAAAGGGGTCATATGATGCGATTTCAATTTTTTCTTTCTCTTTGGAGTGTTACAAGCTCTTGGTGCACAAAGAAGATCTATGAAGATGCAAAGACTAAAGTCTAAAATCCAAAGAGATATTCTTTATAAAAGTTAAGAGTCAACCACGCCTACCTAAAATGGCTCCGCATGTCTACGTCACGATGTGGGAAGATTTGCATAACGC